GTTCAGGGGTTTCTTGGAAAGAGAATGGACTGGACCCAGTGGCTCAGGCCTGTAATCCCAGTTCTGGGAGGGGATGGGGTGGATGGAGGATGGTGCTGAGGAGGGAAGATCTCTTGAGCCCAGGAGTTTGAAGCTGCACTGAGCTGAGATCAGACAAGACACAGGATCTTGCTATGTCGCTCAGGCTGGTGGTAAACTCCTGGCTGCAGTCAATCCTCCCATCTCAGCTCCCTCCAGGAGCTGGGATTACAGGCTTGTGCCACCATGCCCAGCCAATTCTTTAATTTTTTTGTGTAGTTGAGATCTCGCAATGTTGACCAGGCAGGTCTGGGCTCAAGTGATCTGCCCACCTCAGCCACCTAACGCGCTGTGATTACAGGCTTAAGCAACCAGATCCAGGCTCCAAATTAATTAAGATGCTTCATTTCACCCAATACATCCAAAGTGCTATCATTTCAACATCTAATGAATGTATAAATTATAATTGAGCTGTTTTACATTATCTTTTTCCCACAGTAAATCTTTGAATTCTGGGGTTTTACACTCACTGCACAAATTAGGTTGCAGCACCTACATTCCAGGTGTAAGATAGTGACATATGGCCTGGGAGCCCCCGCGGACAGCACAGCCTGCATGAAGCTGCTCCTCTAGACCTCTCACCATGGATGCTGATGAACGTTCTTACTACCAAGGCATTTCTAGCTCCTGTTATCTTACAGCACAATGCATTTTATTTATTTATTTGAGATGGAGTCTCACTCTTTCACCCAGGCTGGAGTGCAGTGGCACAATCTCAGCTCACCACAACCTCTGCCTCCCGGTTCAAGTGATTCTCCTGCCTCAGCTCCTGAGTAGCTGGGATTATAGGCAAGCACCGCCATGCTGGGTTATTTTTTCTATTTTTAGTAGAGATGGAGTTTCACCATGTTGGCCAGGCTGGTCCAAACTCCTGACCTCAGGTGATCCACCCACTTCGGCCACCCAAAGTGCTGGGATTACAGGCGTGAGCCACTGCACCCAGCCTAGCACAATGCATTCTAAATGACCCCTCACACATGCTGAGGTGGAGAGGACACACACACAATCCCACAACTACAATGACACACAATCAGAAACACAATCACACACACACCGTAGGAAGCCAGAGATGCCACCCCAAAGATGCCCAGCACCTCATCCCTGGACCCGGTGTGTATCTTAGGTCACTAGGCAAAGGAGCTTTGCAGATGTGATTATGGCATGTGGACTGTCACTGGGGAATCTTCCTGGATGCCAATCTCATCACCCAAGCCCTGAAACGTGGAAGGCTTTCTCTAGCTGGAAGCACAAGAACAGCGTGGCAGGAGAGGTCAGAGAGGTTCCAAGCATGAGAAGGTTTGAGGCAGTGTTGCTGGCTCTGAGATGGAGGGTCCAATCGGCAGGGACCATGAAGAGCAGGAGAAGCATGGGTGGAGAAGAGCAGTGAGTTTTCAGGGCAGTGAAATCATTCTGTCCTCCACTGTCACGGGGAATAGGATACATTATGTATTTTACCTCTGATCTCAGGTCCAGGGGAAGAGGCAGGAGTGGCACCTACAGTCCATCAGCAGGAGCGACTCTTCCTAGAGAGCAAGGGCACCAGTTAGCCCCCAGCAGAAGGGATGGAGGTTAGACCACCCCACTGGGATTAGAGGATGACTGACAACAGGATGGGGGAAGTTAACTTCCGGGAGGATGTGAGAGGACCCTCCGCTGCAGGAGGAGCAGGAGATAGCCCACTGCCGGGAGGGTGGAGGTTAGCCCAGCGAGAGGAGTGGAGGTCTCTTTCGGCAGAGCCAGCTCAGGGTGGACCCACAGCCAGAAGGAGGGCAGGAACCTCTGTCCTACAGCAGCAACGAACAGTGATCTGCCAACAATGTGACTGACCCTGAAACGAGCATTTTCCCAGAGCCCCCAGTAAGAACCTGGCAGCAACACTTGGATTCCAGCCTGTGAGCCCCACAGGAGAGAAACCGCCAGGGCCAGCGAGCCTCTGACATCAGACCCCCAGCTCATCAACTGTGTCTTTGGAAGATGCTGCCTTTGGGGTAATTTGTTACGGCAGCAACGCAAAGGAAATGCACACCAACACACACGCAAGCCCGCGTCATCCATGCCTTTTCCTCACTCTTTATTTCAACAAGCCTTATAAAAAGTAGAAAAATAAACATTTTCCCAGAGGTGAGTTGGGTTTACACACACGAATACATAAATAGCAATTGGGTGGCAATAAATTAAGACAAGTGGTTGATGTATAAATAAAATCTCAGATTCCATGATGGGTGGCAGGGAGGTGGGAAGGTCAGACACACAGGTCCCCGCTGGCGACGCATTTCAGGTCCCGCGTGAGGAGGCGGAAGAGGTTGAAGGTGACAGAGGCCTCTAGGCAGCCAGGGGACTCCTGCAGGGGAGGAGGGGACAGGTCAGGAGCTGTCCAGGGTCTGGTCTCCCAGTGGCTCCCCAGACCCCAGTGTCTCCCTACCCGGGTCACTCACCTTTTTCAGGGCCTCCTGGAGCCGGTGCAGCCAGTGGTGGAGGCGACCCCGAGGCCTGGGCCCTGCCGTGGGCTGAGGCTGGACCTGTGTGCAGAGGAGGGTGGTGTGTGAGGCAGAGCTGGGCCAGGACAGGGGAAGCTGCTGCTCAGAGCTCACAGACCTGGTGCCCGGGCCCCAAGTACTCACACATGCCCGGAGCTGGGAGAGGACGTGGTGCAGGGTGTGAAGGGGCTGGTCCAGGACGTCCCCCAGGGCCGTGTCATTGTCAGCAGTGGCCTCCAGAACCTCCAGCGTCAGGGCCAGCTCAGCCTCCAAGGCCACGGGGCGCTCCCTCACCTGAGAAGAGATGAGAAAGAAAACGTGAGGGGAACAGGTAGAGGGGTGAGAACAGAGAGGAACCAGTGAAGGTGACAGACACAGGGGAGAGGGCACAGCCAGTGGGGTCAAGTGGGAGCAGAGGGAAGGGGGAGCAGGTGTGGGGAGAGGAGAGAGGGACAAGGGAGAAGGAGAAGGTGAGGGAGCCACTGCAGAGCCTGGGGAGCGGGGCTGGGAGGGCAGGGATAGGCCTGACTCCCCCTCTCACCTGCAGCTGCCTCAGGTCCCAGGTCCTGGGGAAGAGGCGGGAGTGGCACCTGCAGTCCTTCAGCAGAAGTGACTGTTCCTAGACAGCAAGGGCACAGGTTAGCCCAGCAGGAGGGGTGGAGGTTAGACCACTCTAGGGGGATTGCAGGAGGGCTGACAACAGGATAGGGGAGGTGAACTCCTGGGAGGACGGTAGAGGACCCTGCACTGCCAGAAAACATGAATTAGCCCCCTGCAGTAGGAGCTTGAGATAGCCCACTGCAGGAAGGGAAGAGGCTACCCCAGTGAAGGAAGCTGAGAGGGAAAGCATGGTGATCCTTGGAGTTGGGGGTGGAGGCTAGCCTGAGGCAGGAGGGCAGGGGGAGACTCACTAAGGCATCTTTGGCCCTCTTAAAGGCCTGTAGCTCCTGTGGCAACAGGGACTTGAACTGGGCTATGTGGCAGCCCCTTGCATCCGGGAGGGCACCGACAGGCTTGGTGACAGGAACTGCTCCAGTGACGGTCAGCACTGCGGCCATCAGCACTGCGGCCATCAGCACCAGTACTGCCATGCAGCCCCCGATCAGGCCTGTGTCACAGAAAGAAAGGGAGCTGAGGAGATGGTGCGGCTGCCCCCTGAGGGCAGGGCTGCAGGAGCTGCATCTCAGACAGAGATGTGGGGCTCACCTCGTTTCATTCCTGATCTCTGGTCTTCGTCAGCAGAAGGACCACTCTGAGGCTGCCACCCGGGGTCTCTCTGAGGCTGTCACCCGGGGTCTCTCTGGGTCTTATTTGGAGTCTCTGTTCTTTTCAGTCTCCTCTTCCAGATCTCAGCCTGTGTCTCGGCCTCGACTCTTTCTGTCAATTTCGAGCTCTGTCTGGGACGTGATTGCTGCCTGAGCTCCATGGGGCAGCTTTTATGCCGGGCAGAAGGGCGGCCCCAGCTGATGTAGGAAAAATGAAAACACAGCCTTTAGGTAAGAAACCGGCCACCAGGGGAGCCCCAGGCTGGGAAAGCCCAGAGCAGGGCGGGGCCCGTGAGCCAGGTGAGCCGCTGGAGGGAAAGAGAAACTGAGGGAGACTCAGGGATCACCTACAGGAAAGTGTGTTCCCAAGAGGATTCTGCCTGCTCTGGTTTTGTTGTTGTTTAACACAGGGTCTTACCCTGTCACCAGAGTGCAATGGCATGATCATAGCTCACTGCAGCCTCAAACTCCTGGGCTCAAGCAATCTTCCTCATCCAGCCTATAAAGTGCTGGGAATCCGGGCCTGAGCCACCACTCCTGGCCAATATACACATATTTTGAGACAGGGTCTCATTCGGTCACCCAGGCTGGAGTGCAGTGACTCAGTGCAACCGCTGTCTCCTGGGTGTAAGCAATTCTTTTGCCTCAGTTTCCCAAGTAGCAGGGATTACAGGCACATGCCACCATTACCAGCTAAATTATTTTAGTAGAGACAGTGTTTCATCATATTGGACCATGCTGGTCTCAAACTCCTGACATTAACTGATCTGTCTGCCTCGGCCTCCCAAATTGCTGGGATTGCAGGTGTGATCCACCACACCCAGAGGCCAACATATCTTAATTACCCAGGCAAGGAAAGGCTCAGGAATATGAGGCTCTGCTCAAGAATTGAGGTGTGACCAAGGACTTGGACACCACGTGGGTGCTGTTCTTCTTAGGGAACTTCAGGCAGTGATGAACAGCATGAGTCCTGGAGCTGAAGGGTCTAGGGTTCAATCCAGTTGTGACCCTCACTAGCTGTGTGACCTTGGCAAGGAGGGGTGCATTCAGCAACACAGATTCCTGATGCACAGATGTGGAGAAAAAATGAAAAACACAACTGTTTGTGTGTTTATGTGAGTGATTATTTAATGGGACCCACTCATTAAGACCATACCAGGACCTCAGCTGGAGAGTTTAAAACGTGATCTCAACGTACACTACTCCTCCACAAGGCAAGTATACTAACCCATCCTATAGGTGAGGAAACACAGGCTCAGAAAACAATTTGTCCTGCATTACACTGGAATTAACTGGCAGGGTGAGAACTGAAACTCAGGCCACCCGAGTCCCTGGCTCAGCCACTGTTTTTGCTGTAAGGTGCCCCTCAGAACCATCCTACGGAAAACAACCAATGCAATCAAAACACTCTTTAATAACTGCAGTCAATTTAAACCAGGAGACAGAAGAGCAAATACACAGGAATTTCACAACTACAAACAACATAGGTCAGGGAATCTAAACAACTACAGTCAGGTAAGGATTCTTGGATTTCACTACCAAATCCCTCAGGGAATGGTACCCCCCAGATGCCGGATCCAAGAGTCACGGATTCACAGAATCCCAAAGCTGGCTGTGGGGCTACAAAACCAGGGTTGGGTCCCGGGTTTGGGGGTGTCCTGGTAACCACACGAGGAGGAACTGGTGCCGTGCCTGGGGTCAGCCACGGTTTCCAGAGCTCAAGTCTCTTCCTGCTACAGCGGCCCTTGGGGGATCGTACAATGCACCCCAAGGAAACATCGCTGCTTCCTGGGGAACGGCGCTCTCTTCCCTGGAGGAAGGACCCGCGCTTCTTGTAACCGAGACAGAGGATCCAAGTCAGGCCCAAGATGGCAGAGAAGTTCTCGTGCCTCAGTGCCTATTGGCTGAGAGCCTCCCCTGGTCGGGCCAATGGGCGAAAGGGGCCACTTTCGGCAGCCAATGGCGTGGAGGTTTCGGGGCTGGCGGAAGGGGCGGGGTCAGAGGCAAGGCCCCGAGTGCGCCGCCAGCCGGAGCTCCCACGTGAGCAGGCGCAGGAGGTTGAAGACCACGCGGGCTTCGCGGCACCGAGGCGAGTCCTGGAGCCCGGGAGGAGCGCAGCGGGGCTGAGCCAGGCTCTTCCCTCCCGAGGAGCCCCCTCTAGTCCCGCCGCTCCCAGCCCTGCTCAGTCCCGGCCTTGTCCGCCTCGCCCGCTCCTCCCTGCAGGCTAAGCTCGTCCCTCCGGCTGCACTCACAGCTCTCCGCGGCTTGTGACGCCTCCTCGGGGCCCCGGGGACCTTCCTGGAGGAGCCGGGCCGGGCCAGCTCGAGCTGGAGGGGGGACACGGGGCAAATGGAGAAGGCGAAGGACAGGGCCCCCCACTCCCTGTGCATCTGCCCGTGGCCCCCCAGCCGCAGACCCGAGCCCGGCTTTGTGGACACCCAGAGGACCCGACCCGGGTCTGGACGGGTTTTTCCGCTAAGCGGGACAGACTCGCAAAGCGCTGGGCTCGCGGAGGGCCTGAGGACGCAGAGAAGCCGGCGGGGGCAAGGGGCGGCGGGGCGCGGCGGTCACTCACACAGGCCGCCGCGGCCGCCAGCAGCTCCAGGATCGGGCCCGCGCCGGGGAGCAGCTCCGGGCGGTGCAGGCGGCTGAGCACGGCCTGGGCGTCCGCGATGCCTCGGGCCACGTGTCGGAGCCAAGCGCAGGACTGCGGGGACGCGCGGGCGTTAGAGGGGGCCGCGATCGGGCCGTGCCTCCCCCGCCTCCCGTCCCGGGCCTCACCGACGGCCGCGGAGGATCCCTCCTGGGGTGGAAGGAGCAGTTGCGCGGTCCCCAGCTCAGCGCCTCTTCCTCCTGCGGGACAAGCGGCAGCTATCGATAGCGTAGGGATGGGCCCCCTCGCCAGGGCCCCTAACCGCTGTGCCGTCTGGGATTCCTGGACGTGGATAGGCATTGGCCGGGTACCGTTGTGCGTGTCGTACACTGAACCACGAGCTCTCCGAGTGCGTGAACCGGGGCTGAATTGCACCCCGCGCTCCCTCAGCAAAGCCCTGCGCCCCGAGTTGGAGCCGAGTCCGCCCGGCCGGGCGCCCTTCTGTGACTGACCCTGGGCCTGCGTTCGCGCTGCCGACGGGGTCTGCGGGGGTCTCGTGTTGGGAATTGTGGGCTGTGACATACGAGAGGCTCTAGGACGTAGGACCCCTCGGGACAGGGACGGACGTGTGGGAACCCGTCGGGGCCAGGGTCCCGGGGACGCAGGGCCTGGGCGGTCACTCACGTAGCGGTCCCTCAGCGCCTTGGCCGCCGACAGCGTCCGGGGCTCCAGCGAGCGGTAGTGCGAGAGCAGGCAGCGCCGGGGGGCCGCCGCACCCACCGTGCACAGGACCCACAGCCCCGCGGCCACCGCGGCCGCGACACTTGGCCGCATCTCTGCTCCTGCAGGAGGCCAGGGACGTCAGGGAGGCCAAAGAGAGGGGCCCACGCGTCCAGCCCCCGCCTTGGATCAGGCTCTCAAGGGGAGGCGATGCTCGGAGTGCGAAGGTGCAGCACACGCAGGGGAGAGACAGTTGGGCGGTCCCCTCCTCGCCTCGGTCTCTGCCCCCACTCCTTCCTGTAGTGCACCCTTTGTGCCTCGCGCTGTGGCAGGTGTTGCCGTCCGCTGGACCCTGGGAGGCGTCCAGAGCAGTCTCCACCTGGGCAACAGAGTTTCGACGGCCCATGCTGGCTTTTATGTGCAGGGCTGAGAAAGGGTTTGCAGCTGGGCTTCCCCGACCCGGGCAAGCTTTTGGAACATCACTGCTGGCCGCAGGCCTTTGGGATCCCAGTCGGGTGTAAGGACTTCAACCCAAGGTTGGCCTCTGCCAGGGAGGGCTGGCCTCCAACACTCGGTTTCCAAATCGTCTCTGTCCCTGTTTGTACTGTCTGTTTCCTCTTGCTTTGCTTCATCCTGGTTGTCCTTATCTTTGTTCTGCCACCACAACCAGCCCTTGTATAGTGCTGACTGTGCATCAGGCCCTCTTCTATGTAATTGACCCAGACATATCATCTCATATATATTTTTTTTCTACCAGGGCAGCCCTGCAGGTGTAGCTGAGAACGAAAAGCTTCTTTTATTTCACTTTAGAGACAGGGTCTTGCTTTGTTGTCCAGATTGTAGCAGTGGCACGATCACAGCTCACTGCAGCCTCAACCTCCTAGGTTCAAGCAGTCCTCCCACCTCAGTCTCCCAAAGTAGCTGGGGCTACGGTGGGTGCCACACCATTTTTTGTAGAAACCTGGTTTTGCCCCGCTGCCCAGGCTGTTCTCTAACTCCGGAGCTCCAGCCATCCGCCCTCCTCGGCTGCAGGCCTTTTGGATCCCAATCGGGTGGAGGACTTCAACCTAAGGTTGGCCTGTGCCAGGGACAGCTGACCTCCAACCCTCTATCCTGAGCCAACTGCCCGTGTCTGTTTTCTGGACATCTGTTTGTCTTTCTTTGCCCCTCTGATTTCACTTCTGTACTCTAGGAATGAACAAAAACACTTGTTCCTTCTCTTTGAAGCTACAGGCTTGGCAGAGCTATCAAATCATTTAAATGCCTGCCCTTGAGTATTCACACCTGGCTTTCCAGTGCTGGCCCCCTTGTCTTTGTCTGCTTTCTCATTACATTTGTTTGTTTGTCCCTGTCTTTGTATTTTTTTTCCCTTGTCAATTAAAAGAGTCAAACTCTGTAAAACACTTGAAGAGATTTATTCCGAGACAAATGTGGATGGCCGATGGCCCATGACACAACCCACAGGAGATCCTGAGAACCATGTGCCCAACGTTGCCAGGCCACACCTTTTTTTTTTTTTTTTTTCTTGAGAGGGAGTCTTGCTCTATCCCCTAGGCTGGAGTGCAGTGGTGTGATCTCTGCTCACTGCACCTGCAACCTCCCAGGTTCAAGTGATTCTCCTGCCTCAGCCTCCTGAATAGTTGGGACTACAGGCATGCACCACTCCACCCAACTAAGTTTTGCCTTTTTATTAGAGATGGGGTTTTGCTATGTTGGCCAGGCTGGTGTAAAACTCCTGATCTCAGGTGATCCAACTGCCTCGGCCGCCCAAAGTGCTGGGATTACAGGTGTGAACCACAGCACCTGGCCCACCACTTAGTTTTATACACTTTAGGGAGACATAAGGCATCAGTCAATACATGTAAGATGAACATTAGTTCCATCCAGAAAAGCAGGACACATGGAAGCCATGGCGTTTCCAAGCCATAGGGGGTTCAAAGAGTTTCTGACGGGCAATTGGTTGAGTTATCCATAGAAAGGAATGTCTGGGTTACCATAAGGGATTGTGGAGACAAAGAAAGGAAGGAAGGGAAGAAAATGTAGAGAGATCCTGTGGACTCTACCCAGTTTCCTCCAATACTAACATCTTACAAAGCTCCAGTCCAGTACCACAACCAGGATATTGATATTGATACAATCCACCCATCATATTCAGATATCCTGTTTTTCTTCCACTGGGTGTGTCCAGATAGCAGCAGACTTCAGATAAAATAGATTGTAAAATCTTTTTTTAAATCAGACTTAAAGGTCTGTTCTATCAGTAATTCCAAAAGGAATGAGGGTATGATGAGGCATGTCCCACTCCCTCTTGTGATTATGGCCTGAACTAGTTTTTCAGCTTAACTTTGGAATGCCCTTGGCAGAGAGGACGGGGTCCATTCAGATGGTTGCGGGGGGGGGGTGCTTATAATTTTATTTTTGGTTTATACCTTGAATATTACCGCTTCTTTTTTTTTTTTTTTT